CGCCCCCCGGCAGGCGGCTGCCCTCTCTGGGCCCTGGATTCTCCAGGCTCCTTCCCAAACAGAAGGCAGGTCGAAGTGCCGGGCTCCCCCTCTCCTGACCCCCCAACACGCTCGCCTCCACCCACTCCCCCTGGAACACTCCCCGCAGGTCCATGGTCTGCTCCCCACGCTCTGGCCATGGCGGCCACAGGACCTTTGCACAGGCTGTGCCGTGACTGGAACACTCACTGCAACCCTCCACTCATCTCGGCCCCTCTGCACGGCCCTCCCTGCCTGCTTGTCCTGTCACTACCTGACGTTGTGTTCTTATGTTCTTATTAATTGAACTGCAGATTGTCGGTTGCCCCATCCCCTGCCCCACTGCATGCTCCTCCCTAAAGCGTACACAGTCAGGCTGTGGCCCCGATCCCCCAGGGTGGAGCACAGCTTACCCCCCATCATGCTGCCCGAAGCTGTCCCATAAACTGCCCCCTGGGGGCACACACTGCAAATCGGGCCCCTGTGGCCACAAGGGCACCAGATGGGTGCCTGGGGCAGCCAAATTCTCCCCTGGGGACTTGTTCTGGGCCCTGACCACCTGGCAGCTACCACGCTGTGAAGGGACACTCTCTCAACTTTTCTCCACCCCTCCATCCCCCCAAATAAACCGAAGGATGGACACCTGGGACTCCCCAGGGCGGTGAGGCCCCATAGTCCACCTGACACCCCAGGGAGAGGTGCGGAGGCTGAGACCGGGGGTGGGGGCGGGGGAGCCAGGCCTTGTCTGAGGACAGAGAAGGGTCAAGTGTGAGGTGGGGCTGGTGCACCTCTCTGCATCTCTCCATGTGTCTGTCCGTGTCTCTTTGTGCATGTGTGTCTGTCTTTTTTTTTGGTGGCTGGCTGGTATGGGGATCCGAACCCTTGACCTTGGTGTTATAACACCGCACTCTAACCACTGAGCAGCCAGCCAGCCCTCTCTCACGTCTTTCTGCTTGCTCTGAGGCTCCACCTTTGATCACCATCATCTAGCTGGCTTCCGATGTTGGAGGCGGTGCCTCCTTTCAGCCCTACGACAGGTGCCCCCCAACATCCACCCTGCACCTCCCACCCCAGAGGCCAACCGAGGCCCCACTCCCATCCCAACTCTCCCCATCAATCCCAGAGCCACAGCCGCCCAGCGGGGCTGATTAAAGCCAGATACAGCACGCTGGCCTGGGCCAGGACCCCCTCTAGCCCTGGGGACCCACAAGGTGGGAGGAGGGGAAATGGTGTCTAGTCCTCCCTGCTGTCAGACTGACAACTGCCAGTGCTCAAAACACAGACTGAACCCTGGCCCAGCACCAGGACAGGGGTCCAGGGACTCCACATGGGATCCATGTGGGGGTCCTGGGGGGCAGCTATGGCCTGGGGACCCTAGACAAGACCTTGGCCTGTGGGATCCTAGAACATAGAACCCACATCACATGCCACGATCTACCCCTTCCACCGTCGGGGGGTAGATGACTAGAGGAGGTGTCAGAGACAGAGCAGAGGTGAAAGCTTCCTGGGTCTACATCCCACCTCTGCCCTCTCTTGGCTGAGTGACCTCGGGCAATTCTGTTTTGTCGTTTGGGGCTTCTGTTTTGTCATCTGTAAAATGGGTACAACAATGATTCCTGCCTTGAAGGGCTGCTATGAGAATGGGACAGAATTGCTAAACCCTCAGAAAAATGCCTGGTAGAGAGACATTGGAGCTAGGAATTGGGGTTTTGAAACATAAGTAGGAGTTTTCCAGATGGGAAAGGCATTCCAGGCAGAGGGAACAGCATGGGCAAAGGCCTGGAGGTGGGAAATCATAGTCACAATGAGGATGAAAATGTTAGTAACAACAACCGTGCAGGGAGTCCTAGCCCTGTTCCTGGTGTTTGTCTTCATGATCACACCAGGGCTGTTTGCTGACTGCTTACCATGGGTGCCCAATGTCCCTATAAGGTGGCTGTTTTTGAGCTCCCCATTTCATAGACAAGGACATGAGGCACAGAGAGGGTAAGTGACTTGCCTCAGATCACCCAGCCAGCAGGCAACTGAGCTGGGGCATCCAGGATGGGCAGGCGGCAGGGTGTGGGGTGCATTCAGCTGGGGCCAGTTTGAGCAGACATTCCCCTGGGGAGGACAGGATGGGCTGATGGTGATGGAGGAGGGTGCAACCTTGACCTTCGCCAGCCCTCACCACAGGAGGCTGACCGGACTGGCCAGCAAAGGCGTGGTGGCTGGACACGAAGGTGTCTGGAGAGGCCTGGAGGCCCGGCCTGCCTGCTGCACCAAGGGGGGAGGGGCCCGGTGGGGGAGGGGAGGCGCCCAGAGATTGTGCTGACTGCAGCAGAAAACTCGCCTCAAAATTTTATCAGCTCAGCGTGGAGGAGGTAGGGGCGGGGCCGGGCACGGAGGATGGCCGCGGTGGGAGAGAGGCCTGGCCCTGCGTGGTGATGAGCTCCCGCTGCAGCCCCCACGGCCACCCTGCCCCTGCCCACCTTGTCCACCCCTCTGCCTCCACCTCTCCCCATGCTTTCACTTCCCACCCCAGTGGGTCTGTGGCTCATTGGTGCGGGCAGGGGAGGAGGCAGACGCTAAGGTCAAGGTCAAAAAATCAAGGTCAAGACTGGGTACCTCTCTGCTCTGACTCTCCCTCCCACATACCCTGGAGACTGGGAACCCCACGGTCTGGTCTAATCCTTACACCAACACTAGAAGGCGGCACTGCACAGCTGTGGCCTCATTGTACCAAGGGGGAAACTGAGGCACGGAAAAGTGATTTGTCCAAAGTCACACAGCCAGGGGAGAGCAGGGCTGCTTTTTGAACTTGGCGTGGTCTGGCCCCAGGGACTCCCCTGTTCTTGGCACCCCTCCCCTGCCAACATTCCCTCCATTGGTCTCAGACTGTGAAACCACATTGCGGGGGGTGGGGGGCAGCTGGGGCTGAGTTTGCAACCGGCATGGTTCTGTGTCCCACATGTACCCATCTGACACACTCAGGCAGTCTTCCCACGGCATGTGCGGGTTCATGCCTACGTGTGTACTGAACCAGGCCTGGTGGGCATGGTGAGGGGTGGCCTATGCCTATCAGATCTCTGGGCGCACTTGATTCTGTCCGCATGAAGATAGTCCCAGCTGACATGAAGATAGTCCTCGGGGCAGCTGGTGTTCAACCTGCTAGACACATGATCTTGTCCAATCCACCTGAAAACTTCCATTTGGCAGATGGGGGAAACTGAGGCCCAAGTGGGGTACATAGCCAGGAAGCAGCAGGGAAACAGACCCTGCCACCTTCCCTGCTCTTGGCCACCAGGTCCTGCTGACACCAAGAGGCTGGACTGCAACTCTGCCTTTCAACCTCTGCCCAGGCTGCTGCGGCCCATGTCCACTGCTGCCCCACCTTGCTGCAGAGCTGAGCTCAGCCACGCCTCCTCCTCCAGGAAGCCGCCATGGATTTCCCCACCTGCACAAACCGTCTTCAGGTCTCAATGTCGGGCATTTGACCACAGAACCAGCAAGCACCCAGCTAGCAGAGCATGGTGACTTAGCCAAAGCCCCACAGCACCCAACTTCCCACTCAAACCAGAAATGACTCATTGGGCCTGAGTCGGTCAACCAGCATTTACAGAGAGCAACCCCAGGACTCTCCCAGCTTTCTCTGGGGGGCTAAGATTGTCTCTCTCCTCAGCCCTGTTCTCAACAAGGCCATATGTTGTCCATCAGACCCTCTGGGAAAGTCTCATCCTGACACCTCGAGGGCCTGCCACCCGCCTCAAACATGTAGCTGGGATCCTGCCTCTACCTTCAGACCCCCACAGTGCACCTGCCTGCCATCTCAGACTCCCCCTCTGAGTCTCCCCCTCAAACTTCTCCATGGAATCTGCCTGCCCCCTCAGACTCTCCTCCTCTTGAAGCCCTCTGATAGGCCTGCCTCCTCCCTTAGACTCTCCTCACCTAGGCCCACTTCCCCCATCGGACTTCCATATTGCATCCGCCTCCTGCCTTGGACCTCCGGATAGCATCTGCCTTCCCCGTCGGACTGCCACATCGCACGTGCCTCCGCCCTCTGACATCCGCATCGCACGTGCCTCTACGTGCCTCCGCCCTCTGACATCCGCATCACACGTGCCTCTGCCCTCGGGCCTCCACTCCACATGGCACGTGCCTCCCCCGTCGGACCTCCGCATGGCATGTGCCTCCCCTGTTGGACCTCCGCATGGCACGTGCCTCCCCCCTTGGGCTTCCACTCCGCATGGCACGTGCCTCCCCCGTCGGATACCTTTGCCACTGGCCTCCCTGGTTGGACTCCCTTTGCCACCCGCCTCCCCCGTCAGACTCCCTTTGCCACCCGCCTTCCCCGTCGGATTCCCTTCACTGCAGCCTCCCCTGTTGGACTCCCTTTGCTGCCGCTTCCCAGTCGGACTCCCTTTGCCGCCGCTTCCCCCATCGGACTCCCTTTGACGCCGCCTCCCCCGTCGGACTCCCTTTGCCAGCCACCTCCCCTGTCGGACTCCCCTTGCCGCTGCCTCCCCCGTCGGACTCCCCTTGCCGCCGCCTCCCCCGTCGGACTCCCCTTGCCGCCGCCTCCCCCGTCGGACTCTCTT